TCTCCATTATTGTGGGTAATATACCCCTAACTTTGGGAAACCCCTAAACCCTATAAAGCCCTGTATAACCCCTATATAACCCCTGTATAACCCCTAAAGTGTATACCCCTAATTTTGGGAAACCCAGGCTTACAGGTTCATGAACCATCCTTTGGGCCCTGGGACTCGCAACGTCAGACCCCTTCTGCTTGGGAGCCCATTGGGACTTAGTAACTACTTGTAATGGGGCTCATAACCTTACTAATAGTTGGGGTAACCCCTATAAGTCCATTTAGGGGGATTATAAGTAAGGTTATAGGCTCAATTATAAGTAATTACTAAGTCCCATGGGCATCCAAGTGAGGATACCATGGGATAGCTACCGCAAGATTGATAGCTAATGCAGAACCGCAAGATGACGGCTAACCTCTCTTGGCATCCTTATGCCAATAATTAGGGGGTTTAGGGATTCGGGCTTAGGTTTTGGGATTAAGGTTTAGGGTTTAGGGATCAAGGATTAGGGTTTAGGGATTCAGGCTTAGGGATTCGGGTTTAGTATTTACCAAGACCCTGACAGCAAGCTGGCAACCTTCTCAGATGCCTGCAGGCATGCCCATGGGTCTCTTTTTTTGGGAGGGGTCCCTGCAGGGTTGAGGGTCTTGGAATAGAAAAAGCCCCTGTTTAGAGAGATGAATGAAACGTGGAGTTTTCTTGCAGCAGCCGGATGGAACACCAGGATACCCCATGCCCATACCATGCGAAAAGTCGGGTGTCTGCGTAGCACTGCAGATCAGGGCATCTTACCGCAGTTTGGCACAATCTCACACAGACGCAAACGTGCAGGACCGGGAAGATTGGGTTCGAGACCACGGCCACAATCCCTGGAGCACCTCAGCTGCAGCTTTACGCAGGTCGAGGATGCGAGCACCCCAGGGCTCTTGTCATATGGTCCCCCTTAAGTAGATAGAATATGGGGTATGGGGGGATCTTACTATCAGAACTATACCCAGAGCCATATTCTATCCATTTAATAGGGACTATATAAGTATCATTTCTTTTCGGGGCGCATGGACATGGATTATCAGAGAGACTGCAATGGAAGAATACTTCAAACTCCTCAGGCCTCCTGTCGCACTGAACTGTCTTACCCTGAAATTCCCCTCAGCCCACTTGAAGCCAAGGGTCACCGATGTTTTGATGGGATGTCGGGCTATCAGCTGAAGAACTGTCCGGAAATCAGCTGCCCAGGAGACTCTGTAGAATCCCCTTGTGACCCACGGTTTAGGGTTTAGGGTTTAGGGTTTTGGGGATTGAGAATCAAACGGAAATCAGCATGAAAAATGACATGGGCACTTGGCGCCTATCAGGATTCATAGAGTTCACACGGAAGCCTGAATAGTCTCCAGGAATGTCCATTCCCTAGTGTATTCTGGTAGAACCCAAAACCAAGTTTCAACCAATAGATCCTTCCTTGCAGACTCTGGATCTTAGATGCAAAGTCTTCATGCTTTTTTCCACCCTATACATGAAGGTAGGAACTCAAGTAACCTCCAATCTCTTGTTACGGAGTACACTGGGTTTCGCGATATACCTACTTAGCCACTCATCCCAGTTTTAATTTCATGTTCTATCTTCATGTGTTGTTTTTTATTATTATTATTATTTTTTATTTTGTGTGGTGCTCCGTCACTGAAGAAATAGCCCTACAATGCAATAGGCTCATCATAATCCCCATGTAAACCCAAAAGAGTGCTATTTGTTACCCCTATCCAGACACCAAAATACCTAGTTTCCGGATGGCCAGCGACTTGATTCCAGGTTCCTTCGCTTTGGCTCCCGCGCGCGAGAAGGCCACGCTGCGGCGATCTTCTTGAGCCTGCCCTTTTCAGCGAGCCCTAATATGGATCCATGAATGTTTAGGGTCTAGGGAGTTTAGTGCAGGGTTCATTGCGTTTAGGGTTCAGGGTTTGGGCAAAAGTTTATAAATAGTACCGACGCTGGGCTATTTGGATCCCTAGCGAACCCTTTCCCCTTGAACTCCTCACAAGCTTCGCCAGGCTCCTCCTCCTGGAGTTTGATATTTGTATAAAACCATTCCCGGAAATGAAATCTTGTGACCTCTTCTCCTAACGGCTCCGGTAAGACCCCCCCACCCCCTAATGCTGACTATTCCAGTATAGTACTGGGAATCCCTGTCATCTATTACATGCCCGTATCAAAAGTTGTGAGATACGCAGAATAGTCATCGTAGAGACATACATACGTATACCTCGCAGAGGCGAAGAGGGCAGAAGGAGGATTTTTCCTGGCCGGCATGGTGGAGTAAAGTACAGCATGTTGGTGCACAACGATCAGGCATCATCCATACCCGCCATAACCCCTGATGGCCGCTTAGGATCAGTATCCCCTGCATGTTTTTTCCGTGCCTTGGTAGGAAATGGTAGCGAAATCCTGGGTCGACGATGCGCGCAGAACGGCGCGGGAACGTGCGGAGAAGGCAGACACAGGGGTGAGTCGTGGATCCTTACCAGGTGGTTCTCCTACGAGGGGCCTGGGGCAGGCTTGCTTTGGGATATGATCTGGTCGCAAATGATAGTTCATATTGCTATCACAGGCTGCCCTGGAAGGTGAACAAGTAAGTCAATGTAGCCCACTTCGTCGGCTGACAAGCACTGGTATAGGGCAGATAGGCAGCCTCCATAGTTGCAAAGGTGAGGGTACAAGAGAGTGGTTCGGTATGGGTGGGGTTTATACCTGAGAAGGCTTAAAAGAAACCTCTCGTTCATTCCTTTTTTAGTACCGAGGGGAGGCACTTACTTGAATGGACACCCGCGTGAGCGATTGCAAAGGCACCCTCTGCGACTTCGATGGTAGTCGGTCCACCTTTTCACCCCACACCAGCCGCATCATTCTGCAGTGAGCTGGCCGTGGACAGGGCTTTAGATCAGGCATTGTACTCAAGTTCGGTCATGGTGTCCTTTTCAGGATATACTGTTGGTGAGGCAGCAACCTACGAAGACTTAAAAGAATGCCGGAGTCTACATAGCACACCTTTTAAATCCTGATGTAACCCAAAGGCATTCATTCAAGAAGAGCTCAGCACGAGGAAGGCGAGCCACAAGCCGCACGAATCAGTAGCGAGGTATGCATGTATGTAGGTATGTATGTATGTATGTATGTATGTATGTATGTGGTTTTGTAGGGTTCCACAATGTTCCACAGGGATGTATAGGGTTTTTCGGATTTCACTATCTTGGGAAGCCAGTACACTCCCCAAGAATGAGCGACACGCTAGCAGAAATGCTTCGCATTACAACAGAGTAGTAATCGTACTTGGGGCTACCCAGGGCAAACTAGCGGAAGTCTTTAAAACCCCCCCAAGGCTCCTCACACCCCGAAATCATGGTGGATACTACAAATCCTGCATGACCTCAGCTCAGTTTACATAGTACCATCAAGGTTTGGGGTACTTAGGGCCATGCAGGAGTTTTAGTATGCACGGAAGTATACTGCTTTGATCAGGATCGTCAGCGGCATCGCGTAGGCGACGACGTTGGCACAGGCCCCAGCAGCCCCAACGCCTACGTCGAGATTCGGGAGAGGCGCGACAAAAAGCAGAATAGGGTTTTTGATTATATGGGGGACTTATAGGGATGAGTCATATAGGCAGTACATATACATATAAGGCTGATACATAGGGATGCCAAATGGGATGCAAAGGGTTTAGGGCTTAGGATCGGCTAGGCTGATTCACATAATTCACCCCACCTCTTCACTTTCTCCCGATATAGGAAGTTTTGCACAGTTAGGGCGTATTAGCTACTATATTTCCAAAAAATATGAGATAAGAGTGGTGCAAGATTCCCTCCTCAACGGTAGGGTTCCGATTTCATGATTTGTGGATCGGGGTTATCAAAAAACCCTTTCACTATCCGAGCTATAGTTTTCAATCCTTAAAGTAAGTTATACAGGGGATTGTTAATAGGGAGATACTAGGAGTTTAGACTATAGCTTGTCTGCTTTTGCTGCACTTCGAATGTTTCAGTGATGGTTTGGATTGCTGGGCTCTGGGATGTCCAATGCTACACCCCAAAACCCTATTCCAGTTTCACGGGCCGTCCATGGACATGAATCAGAACTCAAAGTCCCATGTATCTCAGCAGCTCTTGGCCTCGTTGAGGTGTTCATCTTAAGCCGTCCTTCCGTGCTCATCTCAGTCGGGTCCTATGGCTTTCAGATGTCATGTGGAAGCCTGAAAAGTTAACATTTTCTGACAATCCTTGTCAAGTTTATGATGAAGTAAGTATACCCCAAATCCCAAGTCCAATCTGTTGGGCCCCTACATGAGACGGGTGAGACTTTAGGTTGGCGATCCTGAAGCTCCTGGTAGTCCCATACGTCCTCGGCATTCCTGAGATAGGGTTTCTGGTGCCAAACACCATCTAAATTATTTTTTTGGGGGCCAAAACCCTATTAATTCGATACCTAATCCCTGAGCCCGAAGTATCCGAATGACACCCCTTTAGGGCCCCAGTATTTGCGTGCTTGGACCCTTGAAGGGTTGGACGTTCAAGCACCCTTCGCTGCATGGAGCCTGCAATTTGCAGGTGGGATGGTGCCGAGGAGGAGGCAGGTGCCACGGTGATGGAACCCTCGCCCTTCAACACTGAGCCTCCCCACTTTGGGGAAGTATTTTTTTTGGAGGGATGGAGACTTGTTTTTTCATATCATCCACATTAGGAAAAGAGGGTTCAAATTTTGATTTGGGGGAGTTCGATCTGGGGTTCAGGGTGCAGGGATCAGGCTTGTTTGAGTCGGGTCTAGATCCTTGCAGGGCACGTGCCCCGAGCAGCAGTCGCCAACTCTGACTCACATACGGTACAGGCTTCTAGCCTGCATGATGAATTCTGGTGCAAAGAAAATATCTTAACGGACAGTTTCAGGTTCGGTCAAACCTCTAGAGTTGTAAATTGATGGTGCCTCGCCGCCACTCGAAAACGTTGATCCCACACTCCCCCAAACCCTAACAATGCGACCGCCGATGATTCTTGAGAAGCACACAGGTTTAACCCTGGAAGTTTCTCTTCTTGCCCTGCAGAGAAGGGTGATCCAGGTCAATGAGCAGATCCTAACATGAGGCGAAGGACTTTTTGGGAAGTCCTGCAAGCCAGCTTTGACTGCTAATGCCTCACCCCTGCAAACCATCCTTGCAGGTCATAGGAGTTGCATACACACGGTTTAGAATTGCTTGCCTTTGGCCTCTAAAGGCTATATGCCGCGGGGAAGACTAAGGCGTTGCACTATTTCTTCGAAGCCTTGGCACAAAGAATCCGCTCCCCCACCACTCGTCCTCACTACGAGCAAGGGAAGGTTTCAATTACTTTCTGCCAGGCCGTGAACATCGTAGTGGCTGAGGAGCTTGACATCTCTACCGAGAAAGCCTCAAGACTTGTCAATCTCGGCCGTTGCCTCGGTATGTTTGGACCTCGTACATCATACTCCTGAAGGCGTTTTTCACGCATGTTCAAAAAGTGCCCACCGCGATTCTTCCTTATTCTTAGCGTCGCATTTTGTATGTGGATTGCATCTTGCCGTCTCCTCCTGAAAGCCACATTTTTTAGATGAAGCATTGCTGCCAGAAGGTGCCGTGTGGTACTACGACGAGTTCGAAGAGAGGGACAGACCCGAGAGGGGGATCAGATTGAGAGATTGAGTAGGGTTTAAGGTTTAGGGTTCAAATTCCCCGCAGAACCGCCGGAATGGTAGGATTCATGCTGCTAGAACACGTGCTGCATTTTGAGCACGTGCGTTTCTTGATGAATGGAGAGTACTTGGCTCCCAAACTAATTAGGTATTACAATCATAGCCCAAAACCCATGGAAGGAGTCAAGAAGAGCATTATTTCTATACTTCTGGATCCAGGTAGTAGCAAGAGTCAGTGGTTGCATCATCTTTGAGCCTGCCAGTGCACATAATGATAAGTCTAACCATATGGCGGTTTCCGCAAATGGGCAGCGCTATCGTAAGCCCAAATCTAGTAGAACTCTGACATGGAATCTGAAGGGCCCCTACTTTTGGAACCCCCATGTTCATGGTCTCAGAAAGTCACGACCCTACACCCTAAACTGCGTGGATTGGGCTGATTGTCAGGTCCTCCCGCGGAAAAACCTTTAGTAGGCAACGAGTCTGTAGAATTTGGATCTTACTGTGCTACGGGCACTGAGGGTTGCCTATAATTAGGGGTACCCGTTTGGGGTCCCCAATGCGGGGGTGGCTTCCAAATTATGTTCAGATGTATGTTATCAAGTCTTATGTCACTCTTAAAGAGCATATATGAATTGTTTAATGGCATCTAACTAAACCTACCCGAGACAGGATCATAGTATATTCTGGCCGATATTGGGATGCTCCCATTTATGGAAATTACCACTTACATAAATTTCTACACTTTGAGAACAGAAACGGCGGCAAACTCCTTGGGGGAATGCATAGGGACCACGCATATTGTTTGGGAACTATGTGTGCCTGACGCTTTTCACGAGTGAGGGTGAGGTCTCTCTGATCGCCCGCCGATAAGTAATCACAAGATTTCATCTTCTCATTCCTGCAAAGCCTACTGCACAGCACTGAATCCTAAACCAAACCCTGCCATTGGAGGCTTAACCAGAGGGGAGAGATGTGATGGGCGTAGCGAGAGATTCGCTCAGGGAAAGCCTGCACTTTATGGCCTGGCTTCTGTCATGAGGGATTGCTGTGTTTTGTGCTCAATGAGCATCTTAGAGGCTTGGATCTCCGGAGAAAAGGTCCCACAAAAAAGAAAATCTACCATCACCTCTAAATAAACAAAGTGGGAATCATGCTGCCAGGACTGGATCCGCATAATGAAGCCCATGAAAATTCGCTTTGACATGGTGCTGCCGGCTGTGAGCGTTGCAGACATGGTATTCTGTCAAATTAGTCTTTACATAATGCTTAGTAGAGACCCTAAAGATGCCCCTTTTCTGAGAGAATCTCATATAAACTATAGTCCTCCTTAAAGGGGGTTAAATATCTCATATGGGGAGCCTGGAATCGGTTGTGTCATGGGCATTTCATTGTGGTTCCTATGCTCCACCCAGCTGAGGCTAGCCATGAAGACTGGTTTATGACAGCGAGCCCCAGCTAGTTTAGGGTTTAGGGTTCAGGGTTTAGGGGTTTAGGGTTTAGGGGTTTAGGGGTTTAGGGTTTAGGGTTTCCGTCTGTGCGGATTTTTAACACCGGAAGCGAAATGGCGTCATGGACTTGAAGACTTGAAGCATGGTAGCAGATATTTCGGTGATTGAGTTTGACTAATGTGGATGTTGGTATTGCTTGTATACTTGGATCCGTAAGGGAATGGTTTTCCCCATTTTCCTTCGCTATACTTAAGATTTGCAGGCATTGGCCAAGTCTACACAGGTCCTTAAACTTACTGATGTTTAAAGGGAGTGGGGGAGTGAATCTAGGGACTATTATGGGGGTATATCTGGGGATTAATGTCGACCCCTGACTGATAAACCCCCTCCCCTTAACAGGGATTTTTAATAGGGATCCTAATATTAAGACCTTTAAAAGAAGGGTGTTTATTAATCATGGGTCTACATTAACGTAGAGATTGTAAGGATCCACTGCCCCACGCCCTCAAGCACCAGTAAGTAAAGGGATCGTCAGAAGGATTGTGAATGTAGGTTGCAGCCCTCGGACTGCCATGAAGCCTAAAAGTGTTGCTTTGCGGAGGTCTCTAGGCAGCCCCCTGTGGCAAACGATGAGACGTTGGTCCCAACTGACAAGACCTGTGTTGAATACTGCTTAGGTTCTGAAACCAATGGGATAATGACCACCAGGGGATAATGGGGTGTCCATCAATAGTCTAGTGGGGCCCCAATATGGACATTATTCTGGGGACCGTTTAGAACACCGCCTAATTTACGGCAACCTCAACCCCTGTAGCCCACCATATAACACCAATTTCCATCGCATTTTCCATGTTCTTTTACAGTTTATTCTCCATGATTAAGGGCGATTATCTTAGGGCCCTACATACTCCTATTGCATCCCTATTACTGCTAGCCATCCACCAAGAGAGCTTGCTGAGTGTAAGCTTAAGGGGTTTAGGGTTGGGGTTCAGAGTTTAAAGGGGTTCCGGTTTAGGGTTAGGGTGTAGGGTTCAGTGTTTGGGGTTTTGGCTTTGCAGATTCCTACCACGTAGCCAATGTTTGTTGTCGATGGGGAAATGCTGCAGCAGCCTAGGCACGAGGGCGGAAAGGCAGTAATCTCTTCAAAAGAACATTAAGCACCCCCCACCCCTAATATCAAATATGCCGCATGCGATGTCCAAACTTCGGGTAGGGGTGTGCTGTAAAACAGTATAAGAGGCTTCAGGAGCCAAAGCTCTAACCCAAAGCCATGAACCCTAAGTCCTGAACCTTACGCACTAGACCCGAACCCTAAACCCATCTACCTAGATGTATACCAACAGTTCAAACTGAAGGGCCACTGTTCCCATTTCGAAGTTTTGTTGTTTGTAGGCCCCCCCCCCAGAAGCTACGGGGCCTGCAGACCCCCTCCTTTCGATAGGAGGCCCTGGATGACCGAATACAAGCCACATTCAATATCAGGGTGGACATTGGTGTTTTTAGGTGTAGTTTAGTCTAGTTCCTGGTTAACTCCATAATAAGGGGCCACTGATGAATTTTATGCGAAATATTGACCGTAGCTCATGTGAGTACTGTGGAATTCTCCCTGTTGCCAGGTGCTTCGGGTTTTCCCAAATCCGGAGCGCTACAAGACCTGCTACTTGGACGACTGGGACGAGAGAATCAAGAAAGTTGATCGGGACTGGGGCCTACACCGCACACCCCAAACCCTAAACAGAGAATCAGAAAAGTTGATTGGAACAGGGGCCTGACCAGGGTAAAGGCTAACGAGCTCGTCTAGGATGAGCACCCCTTTTGCATATCAACAAGTATTATAGCCCCACTTATAGGAGCTCCAAAAAGGGTCTAGTTGGCAAAGCTGTTCATGGGTCATGTGTTTGCGAAGAGGCTTTAGTGTAGACCTTGCTACAGCCCAACTTTGCGCTAAGGTGTGCCCTAGCTTAGTAGGACCCCCCCACCCACCACTGGGGGTCCTTCTAAGCCCAAGTGTCGGGAAAGCGGCTTATTTCAGATAAAAGAACAAGATGATTCTATCAGGAAGGGCATTTTACATGACATTGCGGCGCTACCTCCAGGAAGCTGCAAGCGCTGTCTACAGCTTCGAACGCCTCTATTTTGCTTACAGACTGTTGCATGCACTGCAAGTAGGTCTCATTCAACCTATCTAGAACCCTGCTTAGGGCAATTCGTTCTACTAGCCAGCCCAAGCTACAGCCAGAGTTGGTGTTTCCATGCTTCGACCTTCTATGCCAGGTTCCCTCTCGGCCGGCTGCGCCCTACACTTGATACGAAAATCTGGCAAGATCCACTAACTACTCTAACCTTTGGAGTGGTGGGAGTTTGGTGTCATCAAGTCACTCAGATTGCTTAGCATCAGCAGCACTATCCCCAGGATAGATTGCATGGCCACGCAAGCTTTGGAGCTACATGTGCACTGGGCATTCTAAAGTTGAAGCCCCTTTACCTGGCCTTTGGTTAGCTGGGAATGGAGGAATGCAAAAGAAAATGGGAACTGCTATAACGAGTTATATAGGGACTGTAAGGATCCATTCCTTCATTCCTGGCTAACCAAAGGCCAGTTACCTAGTCACCTGGTCGTAAGTAGGGCCGGGACAGCAGCTTTGGTAGGATTTCGTGGTCGTGGACAAGCCACCGCTGCTTCCCTGCTTCCCACATGTCCGCTGGGCCAATGTTGGGGCATTCGTAGGGGTGATATAGGGGTTATTTAGGGGTTATATAGGGGAGTTGGATGCAGGCTCTTGCTGAGGTCACGGATGGTATTGGAAATAAAGTATTCGGGGCAGGGTCGATGCTTTAGCGGCAGAAGGGCGTGCAGAAAAGGATCTTCCAGAGCTCAGGCTTGCAGGTCAAGGACAAGCCAACGGTTCCACCTTGGACTGACGCAACAGTCACATAATTTGTGCCCTTCGGACCTGCAATAGCAATAACCACATAATTAGCAAAGTCATGACTTCTGGAACCTCAGCAATGGAACACGGAGCCCCTACACCAAGTGTTTACACTTTCGTGTGTAGCTGTTTTGGGCTTGGGCTATTGAAACGCACTAGAACGCGGAAGGCCTGTCCCATAGGACCCTCAACACCTGTTCCCATCATCTCCTTATCGTACGATGGGCTTAACCGCCTTAACCCCTTGAACACCCAAGCACCGGAACCCTGCACTCTATACTCCAAGCACCGAAACCACTACACCCTGTAATAATATTGAACCCTTACTTCCCAAAGTGGAGGTTTCCCTAAATGAGGGCTACCTTTTTGTTTGGGGTCCCTATAATCATGATCAAAATACTGGGCGGTTTAAATTGCCTCCCACTGTTTCAGGGAACTCCTAAATCTGGCCTACAGCTCACTTCCTTCAACTGCCCAAGCCCCCCCAGCCTGAGACCCTCAACTTGAGGCCTGAACGCCTAAGCCTTGGTGAATTTGCCCATGACTCCTATAAGACCCTAAACCCCAACTAACTCCGAACCTCCAGCCAGCCCCTAAACTTCAAAGCACCATAAACCCTAAACCCTACTACTAACATCCATTAGGTCCCTCCACTCTAAACACCCTAAACCCTGAACTCCCTAAACCTTGAACTCCTTAAACCCTGAACTCCCTCAACCCTGCGGTCCGTACACCCTAATCTGCCAACATGCCCATCCCTAAAGCCTGAATTTCGTTGCCAGGTGACAAATGGGAAGGAGAACTTGAGCCGTGCCGTGGCAGATGGGCTCAACGCTTGAAGCCAAGAGCTTGCATGTGAGCCGCTGAGGTTACATGAGCCATGGTCTAACCTCCATAAAGGGGGGGATATAGGGGATTATACACGGGACTACGACTAGGAGTTCAGACTATGGCTTATATAGGGATCTATGAGGGTTAGGTTTAGGGTCTAGGTCTTCGGGGTATAGGTTTAGGGTTAGGGGTCAGGGTAGTGTTTTGTGAGCTACTGTCAATATTAGCCTTCTTTAGTGATGTTTGGGGATTACTCAGAAACAAAAGGCCGTTTTGGTCTCAGAGCTTCGAGATGTTTGTGCCCGGGATTCAGGGCTTGCCAGTGACTCCCTCAAAGCCACTGCTGGGAGGATAGCCTGGGTATGGCACATAGACTGGGTATCCTGGAGAGTTGCAGCTAACAAAATTGCGAACTCTAGTCTGCTATAGCTCCTACATAACCCCTATATGATTCCAATATGCCCCTATATGACCCCTAGCTGACCTTCCAATATCAGCTTGGTAGTTAAAACCCCACGTCTGAAATGTCAGGCTGCTGCCATAGATGAGCCATAGTCTCAACTCTCTAAAGGGGTTATATAGGGGACCATACAGGGGATTAATTACTATAGGGGTTATTAAGGGGGATACTAGGAGTTTAGACTAGCTGAAATACCCCCTACTAAAGACAGTATTGCCCAAGAAACGAAGAGGTGGCTCACCCAAATAAACAAGGTTTTGTGCCGACAACATATGCTGGACAGATCCTTGGGACAATTCCTCTATGATGCGCATGGTAAGGTTCATGAACTCAAATCTAGGTTCCTGTGAGCCTCAAATCCCAACCTCAAACCAGCAACCATAAAATTTGTCATACAGATGAATCACAATCTATGGTAGTTTCCCAAAATAGGGGGACCCCAATAGGGACCCCCTCGATACTATAATCCTTATCATTGGAACCCCCAAAATGGTACCCCCAACTTTGGAAAACCCTAGTCCTTATACATATCCTTATATAACCCCTATTTCACCCCCTGGAACCCTTTAAAGGTACCCCATCATCATTGCTGCAGCTCCTGTACACGCTAGGTCCGGACTGTCCAAGAGGTAGAGCTTGGCATGGACGACAAGACGCTTGCATTGGAAGACTATGGGTTTAGGGTTTAGGGTTAAGGGGGCGGATGGAGAAGCATCGCGCATCAGGTAATATCCCAACCATACTGTAATTGCCATTATTAGACCTATATAGGGTGGTACTATCCCAAAATTATTGCAATTGCCATTATTAAGCTTTTGTTCCTATAAAGGGTGGTGCAAGATTTCCTCACTTCATGGGAGGTCTTTTTGCGGAGGATTCAGGTCTTGAGAGCGCAGATTTTGGTAGAACAGGAGTGGGGGCTGCACTGGGCAATGTCTGGGCTATCATCTTTCAGGATTGTCCAGGGACTACGCAGAAGAGATTCTGTGAGGGCTGTGTAGGCTCCACACGATGAATCATGAACTTTTCGGCTCCTTACAAAGCCACCTGGGGGTTCATCGTGAAGTCTTAACCATAAGAAAGCCAACAACAGCCTTGTTTGGGAGGTTAGGCTCGTATGTGCATCTGAGGAACATGACGCCGATGACTTGCATTGACGACGAGGCACTTACAAAGTAATTTCTTCTGAGAGATGAGACACGTCCTCGCTGCATGCCATACTATGCTGCACATGGCTGCACTGATGAACCGCTGCAAAACGTAACCTTGAACAGTTGCAACTGGCTCCAGCGTCACACGCGCATTTGGGAAGTTGGGCGCGCGCGTTCGCTGTACGGTCTATGTTGAACTTTACTCCGGTGTCGGCTTGCTGCGCAAAACCGCGCATCCCTGTGCAAGCATCATTGCCAGGGTTAGGATCCCAAACCCTCGTTGAGCCACGACAGGGTCACCAAGAGCAGTATGCTTTGCAGGCCAGTTCTGAGTGTACCCTACATGCCAAAACACGAAACGCGAGAGAGTATGCCTCATAAGCGGCAGAATGGTGGAATGCCCTAAACGCTAAACCCTAAATAGTAGTTTCCGTTTTCTTTTCCATTATCCCTATATAGCCCCTGTAGAGCCTCTATATAACCCCAATATAACCCCATAGGTCTACATTAGGTCCAGCCATCTGGGGACAGTTGGCGTTGGACAGCCGCTCCCGCTCCACCGACCAGAGCCCATTTCTCTTTTCGCAGTTCTGTGTCTTTGCTGGTAGGATCTGCCCAGACCCTACATCTGCCATCTGGGCCACTTTGTAGCAGCTCAGGTTTAAGGCTAGGGGCTTTGGCATGCCTATTCAACACAACAAAACGCCCAAAAGTTGCGAGATAAGAAGTACCCGGCCTGGCTGTGGCACGCAGTGTGTATGCATAAGAGCAATAGCCATCAAGGCCTCTCCGTCCATGCAAAGCTAGAAAACCAAAGAGCGACTCTCAAGGGACCTGCCGGTCGAGCCATCGCCTTAGGGAATGTACCCTATGTGCTATTAGGATCCCTAAAATGATTTAAAGCATATTCTCTAATTAGAGGATGAAGGGACCTTGAGTCCCACAACCTATTGCCCTGACCCCTCACACCCTTGAAACCTCACATCCTGTTGCTCAGAAAAGCTCTGCATCTTGTAGCTCTGCCTCCTTGGATGATCTGTTGACTTATTAAGCTTACCTGTTTTATCCAATAATAAATCTTGCGTCATGCCCTATAGCCCCGGTTACAAGTAGACCTAGCCAAGCTTCCTCTAGATCGCTGTTCAGGAACTTAATTTAAGTTACCCTAATATGGGCATACAGTAAGCAATAGGGCTTCCTACTTGTAGCAAAACCAAAACCCTAAACCCTATAGTACCCCTCAACCCTAAACCCTATAGTACCCCTAAACCCTAAACCCTAACTTAAGTTCCTTAACAGCAACCCAGTTTGTCGAGCCATGGTGGAAGAAAAGGATGAGGAGACAGCCCTGAGGCAGGCCTACACGGCGGCGGCCATTCGCAAGAACGAGGAGTCCAGACATGTGAGCTAGTAGGGTTTACAATGGGGTGATATAGGGATAATGGAAAAGAAAATGGAAACTAATATATATATATATGCTAATATATATGTATATATAACAACAATATAATAATAACAATAGTAATAATGGTAATAATAACAGGGTTTATAATAGTCTAAACTCGTAAAGGGGGGGTGATATAGGGATTATATAGGGGACTCGAATAGGGGTGACTCAGTGGGATACTAGGAGTTTAGACTATATAGCTAAGTGCGTAAAAACGATGGATGGAGGAAAGGTCGCGTCGCTCAGGGCAATTGGGAAAGTGCAGCTACTTATGAAGGCCGTGCAAGTGGGGACCCACCTATTGAAAGCCCTTCTGCTTTTCATGCTCCATCGAGCTCTTTCTTCTGGTAGATGTCCCGGCCTTTTGGACCTGTGTGCTTGCAAGAGAAGATTTGGCCATCTTATTTCTACTTGTCCAGCAAGTGCCAGATTGTGTGTTCGAAGTCTCCTCAGGATAGATGTTTGGGACTATGATTTTAACATACTGCTTCCAAAGAACTGATCAGAAATGTGAGCGACTGTCAAGATGTCCAACCGCTCGATCTTGTCTCGGGCGGACATGACTTCAGCAATGCAGGAAGACCCTTTAAAAGGACAGAGGAGATAGCAAGCGACAACCATGATGCAGCGAAACGCGAAGACGATGAGCAGCCTGTTAAAACAGAACGATAGGGGAGGCAACTAAAAATGAAAACCCAAGCCCATCTCCCTTAGCCGGCTATGGAATTTTGACCATAGCTCATGTGATTCTCACTATGCATCTACGGGGACTGTAGCAGGTTCTACCAGCTTTCCACAAGCAGAATTGCCAGGAGCTCATTGCAGCAGAGATCGAAGCTGAGCATACGCTGGACAATGCTTGTGATCTGCGATTCTCGAACCAGAGCCCTAAGAAGACACTGGGCTGAGACCACTACTGTGTTCTCCTCAAAAATCAAAAATTACATCACAGTCTAAGATGGTTCTTGACAAGGTGGCCCAGGAAACAGGGCCTGGACCTAGAGTAGGCTGCTTGTAAGTGAAGGCTGCTGTTTCTCGGTCTGGGTACCGGCGCCTGTGTAATTTTCGACAGCGCGACAGGACCCTTCCGAAGGACATCCATTCCACTTTCCACTCCACTTTCTACTCTCTCTCTCTCTCTCTCTCTCTCTCTACACACACATCTGAAGACTCTTCACACGCTCCACACTCCATGCTCGATTCTCCCGTTGCGGGTCCCCTTTCCACTCCACACTCCGCTCCACTTGTCAGCCCACTCTCCACACCACCACTTTTCACCTTTCCCCTAAATTGAATTGCAACCTGCGGCCTGGCAGGGCACTGAGAATCAACTGAGATCCAAACTTTAAGTGGCGGCCAGAAGGGTAGTCAGGACAACATCTGCTAAAGGCTAATAGTAGCGAATAACTACAGGTGGATTGCGATCGGGATCCGTATGCTCTGATGGAAAATGACGGTATCATTCGGGCTTAGGCTGGCTAATCGGGAGTTGAGGAATAGTGCCTAAGGGCATACGTACGAACTAATCAGCCCATCCCCATACTGGCATCAGAACCTAAGGGCAAACCCACTGCATTGGATAGAACCCAGATAGCTATCGAGAAGAGACATTTCATCGTACTTGAAGCGCCAGATTGCAGCAAGCTCATTCTCCCGGGGTAGAAAGAATCGAGTTATGGCCAGGTTATAGACTAGCTTTCGCTAAAGTTGATGTTCTAGATAACGCTCGTGAGTGTTGCATAGTATGCTTACCTCCTATTCTCCAGAAGCATTGCCTAGAGCTTTGATTATGAACTTTTCAGCATCCTGGCAGTTTCAGAACTACGAGGGTATAGGGTCTAGAGTTTAGGATAACTAGGACCGCTTCAAAACCCAATTTAGTGAAAACGGTTCCCCTTTTTGCAAGCCGAGGATAGGGATTGATGTGATTCGAGACGAGAAGCCTTTGCAAGTGACCGTGTGGTCCATGAGCCCTGATCTACATTGGGATATAGGGTTTAGGGTTTAGGGTTTGAGGGTTTAGGGTTTAAGGGTTTAGGGTTTAAGAGTTTAGGGTGTAAGGGTTTAGGGTTTGGTTTAGGGTTTAGGGTTTAGCTGGAGGAAGCCTTACTGAGCTTTACTGAGAGCTTTACAGTGCTTGACTGAGCCTTTGTAGGATTTGCCAAGGCTTCTCAAGAAATGCAAAGAAGGGGTCCCTCGCATTTTGAGAGCAAGACAATGCCTCCTGTCTAGGAGGTGCTACTAGGGTTTAGGGTTTAGGGTTTAGCCTTCCTAGGCAGTCCTTGCAAACTACTTCAGACAGGTATTGAACTGCGAACATTACGGGGAGCAATGGAATCTTTATGCAGGGAAGGAGCTATAACATGTTGAGTTTGGCTGGACCCAAAAGTAGGTAAAACAATGGACCAGCATCTTAAAACACAATAGGCCATCATTCTGCAAACTTTTGGGTTCAGGTAACATTACATGTGTGGTTGTCAAAATTATGGTCCCTTTTTCCCTAGTATAGTACGGCACCTAATATAAAGGGACCATAATTTTGACAACCACCCAAATGAATCCAATATCAGCACTTTGAGAGACTCCTCGAGTCAGGAGCGGGGGAAAGCTGTGCAGCTTAAGCCTCACTGCAGATGCTTCTGGTAGTGAGGCCTGCTTGCCCAAAACTGCTATTCAGAGTTTAGTGCTTAGGGTTTAGGGCTTAGGATTTGCGGTTTAGGGCTTAGGGTTTAGGGTGGGCTTGGGGACTGGAACAAGAAAACGGAAACTAACGTTTTTGGGTTTAGAGTTTGTGAGAGGCCTTGGGAATGATGAGACTTGAGCGTGCAGGGACTAATCCTTTCAGGCTTTGGGCTTCTTGAACTATTGTCTAAACTCCTAAAAGGGGGGATTATGAAGGGGGGATACTAGGAGTTTAGACTATGGCTCATTTGCTGCAGGGTTGTAGGGGTTTTCGTGTTTTTGGGGTGGCTGGTTGGGGGCATGGAGGTAGGGCTAGTTTGCATCCTCATCCTTATAGAATGCCTGTAAAACCCGGATATCATCCCTATATGGGTAGTTCCCAAAATTAGGGGTACCTATTTGGGCGTCCCCATAAGAAGGATTATAGTATTTTGGGGTCTATATTGGGGTCCCCCTATTTAGGCAAACTACCATATAGTCCCGATATAACCCCGGCCAAAGAACTCAGCCAGAAATCCTCCGAGCCTTCATGTGTTCAGGAGGCTGTGGAGGCAGGCAGGCCTGCCCAACTAAGGCATTGAATTCCTTATTTTACTTGGGGAATCGGGGAAAATGTCACATAGGGATTATGTTGGGATTGCAGTCCCTTATTCCCTATTTATCGCCAGTAAGTTATCTTCATCCAGCTTATCATTTGAAAGGTGAGCCTCCCCCTTTTCTCCCTTTAACCTTTGAACAAAAAAGACCTCACATCCCCTGACGCCTATATTCGCGACCCTCACAAACCAGGTCATGCAGAAAGCGGCCAGGGCAAGCGGAGTGCGGCAATCAGAGCTGAAACTATTCTACAAGGACAGGGGGCCGGTAGAGGGGGCTTAGGGCTT